GGAGTAGGGGGAAGGGCCTCAGCGTCCCCTGCCTGTCGTTTCGGGGTCTGGTGGGGTCAGCACCAGCTGCGGTCCTCCATCAGTGGTTCCCCTGCTCACCTGCTGCCCGAGGGCCGTGTTCTCTTGCAAAACCCAGTGAACCCTTGTGCTGGCTTTTGGATGTGTGTTAATGCTGTTTGTTTCCTCTTAAAAATAAAACATTTCTCGGTCTGAGCTTTCGTTCTCTAAGGGTGAGTTCTTGCTTTGAGCACCTCTTCTGAACAGCTGTGTCGAGGCCGGCAGCTAGATTGAATCGTGGGTGAACGTGAAGGAACTTGGAACTTCCACGCGCGAGTCCTTGCTTGCTTTGGGGATCTGTGCGTTTATGAAATGATAGAATTTCTATTTCACCAAGACCTAAGCGGTGCACTAGAAAGTCCTGGGAAAAGGTCAACTAAAAAAAGAGCTTTGTGGGTAATTTGTACTTGGACAGAAGTGATAGGATGCATTTGGCTGATCTGGCTCATTTTCTTAGACTGTCTCCTGGACTCTTGGAGTTGAGGATAGAGAAGGTGTCAGGCTGCCTGGGGTCCCTGTGCAGGTGGGTGGCCCTGCTTGTGCCCCAGGGGAAGGTGGGGAGCAGCAGGAGCTAAGGAGTTTCCTGGGGATGGAGTTCCCTGATTTAGCAAATGAAAAGAGCAGCTGGTAATTTTGAATTTCTGATCAACAATGGGCCACACACAGGCATCTAAGTATTTTACAAATTCTTTGTGTGTCCTATTGGGACTTCCTGCTGGTGGTGGCTGGTGTGAGGTTGGTACTTACCTGGTCATCACGTCATTCCCACTGGCAGCCCTAGGTAAGGAGCCCAGCAGTGAGACCTCGTCAACCCCCCACCTCGCAGCTAAGGACCCTGCAGCTCCGTCCAGAAGGGGTGGTTTGGGCTCTGAACTCGAAGGACTCCCTTGTCTGTACAATGGGAAGGCGAGTAGTGTTAAGCTAGAATTGCTGGGGGCCAGATAAATACACAAAAATTCCTCGCTTTGTGGTGTTCTAGAGTGAGGTGCTTCAGAGATGTCTGTTCTCAGTGCCCCCGTTCTTTTGTCACCTAAGCTTTGCTGGTGAGTGTGGGGCCACAAAGTTTTCCTAGTCACTGTGCTGAAAGTCAGCTGGCAGCATTTCCTGGGAAAATTTGACTTTTTTCGTCTTGGTTTTGCTATTTTCTATTAGGAGGCATATTGTAGACAGCTGAGTTAGAAATACAGGCAGGAAGGCAGGGCTGGGCCCTCGGAGCCACTGGGCGCCAGTGCGGAAGAGGTACCTTGCAATGGTGCAAGAGACAGGCACTCGCCGTGGGCCAGACCTCAAGACAAAAGAGGAAACAAATGCAGCCACCCACCTCCCTAGGGACTAGTCTGGGGGTTGGAATTCTAAGTAGGCCTACGTCACCTGGAGAAAGCCAGCAAGAGGCCCTGACCCAACCCCTACAGGAAAAGCCCCTGTTCTGTAATCTCAGTTTGATCCCAAGTAATCAATTTTACCTGAGTGCTTCTACTTGCAATTGGATTGGTGGGCCCCGGTTTTGTCCCATCTCATTCCCTCCTTGTAAGTTCCTGTTTCCCACTTTAGACCTGCCTCACCTTGTGGGTTTGCTCTATAAAAATCTCTAGAAAAGGCAGGCAACCTACTCCGGTCCCCTTTTGTCCCTTTCTCAGGAGAAGCTTTCTTTCCCATGATAAATGTATTCTGTTAACCTGTTCGTAAACTTCACTCTTTGGTCTTAGAGAACAGGAACTCGCCCCAGGTGCCGTTCAACTTGCTGAGTTTCACTCTCCTGTATCACGCGGACCTGATGGAAGACACACAGTACTTGAAAGGAGGGAGAAGACTAGGTCCTGTCTCCCATTTTACCGCGAACCATAACCCTGGGAACATTCTTTTTAAAATTTGTTTTAGTGGATAAGGAAAAGTTGTCCCTGTGTACACAAATTAATGTTTCGCACAGCATGTCCATGGTGACATGGCTAAATTAACTACCCTGAAAATAGTCTTCTGGCCTCCTGCCTACTGTTCTGGTGTAAATGTCATAAGGTCTCTCTGGGATCGCCTGAGGCTGGCGGGAGGGCCCGCAGAACCTCTGACTCCCGAGGATGAAAAGGATTGTGAAGCGCTGGCCATGGCCAGCCAGGCAGGATTCTGCAGTGCAAAAGCGGGAGAGAGAAGGCGAACCTGCAGCCCGGGTGGGCCAGGACCAGAGAGGGCCGGAAGGGAGTCGGGAAGCGGAGGATGCCGGGCTATTCCCACAGGGCAGGCCAGAGCCCGGGCGGGAGGTGGCCGGAAGGGGGGCAGTTCTTGCGGGGTGGGAGGAACGCGGTTGGGAGTGGGGGCTGGGCGCAGAGCCCGCGCAGGTCTCTTGGGGGCGGGCGGGGGGCGGACGGAGATTTCCAGGTGCCAGGGCAGAATGAGGAGAGCCAGCGTCAGAGATGCAGGGGAGGAAAGGGGCACGAGGGGGAAAAGGACGGTTCCTGTGGGGACTTTTGCTCCTCCTTAACAGCTTAAGGACGAACAGGACCTTGAGACACTGTCCAGTACATTCGTTTTGGCCCCAAAGTGTTAGTACTGCTATGGACAGCTGGACTTACCCGAGGACGCGCTCAGGCCTGACAGAAATGGAACCTATCTGAGGGAGGAAGGTGTTTAAAGAAAAGGAGCCGTGTGCTGGCCGCCCCGTAAGACGCCGGGAAGGGCTGCTGCTCACTGACTGCCCCGCACACGGTGGGGGAAACGCAGGCGACTTTCCCAGCAGCCTCCTTGAGGTCCTTTCGCTGTCGGATTTTGCATTCTTTGTGTTGGACCATTCTGATTTTTAAAAACTCTGTGGTGACTAGGATAACAAGACAGGCGTCCAGCCATCACCCTTGGTTGGGACAAGGCGAGGTGGACCTGGGTCTGGCAGGAGCCACGTGGCTTGCAGCCACGGGTGTCTCCACCGCGGACTTACTTGGGGAATTTCCCTGAGGTTAGGGGACTCCCCAGCGTGCTGCCCTTCCAAGTACAACCGGTGGGCCCGACCTGGAGACAAAAGAAGAGACAAATGCAGCCACACACCTCCCTGGGGACCTCAGGGACTGATATTCTAAGTGGCTGTCAATCACCTTGAGAAAGCCAGGAGGCATCACTAACCCAACCCGCGCTGGAAGAGCCTCTGCTCTGCGTTTATGCCCGCTTCCTACGTGACTGGCTTCCCCATTTGATCCCGATTTAATCAACTTTACCTGAGCACTTATGTTTATAATCTTACTGTTGGACCATAGGTTTGTCCTGCCTCACGCCCACCTTGAGGAATTCCCATGTTTCCCACCTTGGACCCGCCTTACCTTGTGCATTTGCTCTATAAAAAGCCCTTTAAAAATCCCGGGAGAGGGGTCAGGGAGATGGCTCAGTGGAATAAGCGCTTCCCTGGCAACTGCAAGGCCCTGAGTTCGATTCCTACCGGTTCTGCCAAAAAAAAAAAAAAAGCCCAGGAGGTAGCTCAGACCCTAGAAAGGGCAGGGTCCTTGGCAACACATAAGGGACCCATTTATCTCTAACAGGAGCTTTCCTTCCCCCAATAAATGGGCCACACTCGTGCTTCTGCCCACAGCAATGTATCCGAACCTGCCTTTATCATGGTCCTGACCACTGGGACAAACCCCTGCCATGCACACCCTAAAGGAGGAGATGTGGATTTCGGGCTCTGCACGCTGCGCAGGGGCCCTGGCAGGCAGCCAGGGACAGAGACAGAAGGGAGGAGCCCTCCAGCTCCTGCCCCGTGCTCTCCCTCCCCTGACCAGGACCCACCTCCTAATTTCACATCTGGCTGTAGTGGCTGCAGAACTCCCCCCTAGGAGTGCCTGAGGCTTGGGGTGCATGGGGATAGCAAGTATTACAGGGCTTGTTCAACTTCAATTTAAGGTTTTTGTTATCCTTTCTAATGCTAGAATATTGGTAGCACCATTGAAGGAACATTCAAAAAACCCCAACAGCTTAGTGGCTACAGTAACTTAGTCACTAGTCCATGGAAATGGCCCACAGTCGGTCCACCAAGCCCGTAGCCACCCTTCCATTTGCTAGCTCTGCTTGTGGCCTGGGTGGTGCTCACTCGTGAAGCTAGGCTTCCCCACAGCCGGGAATATGGTGGAGTCCTCTGTCACCATAGTGACAAGCATCCTAGAGCAAGAGTCTGCTGCCTTCACCTTCCCCTGTGCTGGCAGTCACTAGCACAGCCGGCCCCTGAGCAAAAACAATGTGTCTGCATGGACTAAAGTTGCGAAGCACTGTTGCCACCCTCCCATGCCACACTGGGACATACTGGACACATGTGGCGACCCAAATCTCTGTCACTAGCACCCCCAGCCTCCAAGCAGCCTCTCTCTGCTCTCACTTTTCTCCAGACTCCCAGTGTGCCCCTTTCACCTTTCTCTATCCGATTCCTGCGGTGCTGATGCCCGTTGCCATTTTCCCCCTAACTTGGACGCTTGGTCTTTAAGAAGTGCTTACATGTACTGCCCTTGACATAGAGTTCATTTCTATCGGTGCACTTACACTTCTTATGTTGTCCCAATTTTTTTTTTTTTTTTTTTTTTGTGGAACCGGGGATTGAACTCAGGCCCTTGCACTTGCCAGGCAAGCGCTTATTTTACTGAGCTATTTCCCCGGCCCTGTTGTCCCAGTTGAAACACTGTCTGTGTTGTCTTTATGAAACTCTTCCTTAGACTTCCATTCTTGTAGAAAACTTTGTGCATAGAATTTCTCAGCTCCAAGGCCGTAGCCCTGCAAATCTGTTTCGTG